AGAAACCCATTAGCATATTAGGCCACACCCCTGACAATACAGCTCATTAGCACATTAGGCCGCACCCCCATGTTACCAGAAGCGTGCTCATCCAGCCACACCCACGTTTTGCTTGTTATTCTGTTTACCTTGTTTGTTGTCAAAACCAAGGGCTTTTTTGTAGCAGGAACTCCTTTGCATGTTAGACCACACACCCCTAATGTGGCCAATACTAATGAGTTCCTGCTGTCGGGTGTGGCCTATTGTGCTAATGAGTTCCTGCTGGGCGTGGCCAACTTGGGAGCCAGCCGGAACTCCGTTCCTGTGCGTTCCTGCCCCAAAATAGCCCTGCTTTTACCCAACCAGAAAGAATTCTTCTCTAAGCACGAGCTGCCCAGGGACTACAGAAGCCAGGACAACGTGCTGGTCTCTGCCAGCAGACAGAGTCCCAAAGGAAGTTGCATGCTCTCCATCAGAGGAAGAACGCCAGCAAGGAAAATAAGCTTGCCCCAACTGGATGTAAATCCTTATTTAATCGTAATATTTATACAGCTCATCTCCATCTTCTCCCTTTCCCATTATTCCTCCTCCCTTCTACATCTTATCACGCTTGTCTGTAAGCCTGAGAAGGGAACCTGCATCCCTTGACTGATGCTAGTTGCTTTGTGAGACCACCAGTCTGATGAATGGAAAAACAAAAGGTAAGGAGGCTGTTCCAGTATGACAGGACTAGAATAAGACCAAAGCAGTGGGCATGCATGTATGTGTGTGTATGAAATAAAGACTCATTACAAAGTTATATGCGGATGACCCGATACAGCAAATATGGCACAGGAATACACTACTCTTCTTGTATTGATGCAACCCTTCAAATATTTTCATTTTAAAAACATGGAAATATCATGAGGTTTCTGAATCAAGTTAATAACTTTTTAACAGCTTCTACCCAAACTAATCAGTCAGGATTTCTTCAACTAGAAGAACAACTCCAAGGTTATTTTCTCCATATCCAGCAACAGCTCTTGCAAACTGAATAACAATATCTTCCTGGGACAGCTGTGCAAGTGTTTATCTATCTTTCTGCTTCCGTTCTTAGTGCACCAGCACAGCTGTACTTTGAAGCACTGCGAGATCTAATCAGCTATGTAACCCACACTCCTCATTACTCCAGCTCACAGTTTCTCTATGACACAGCAGTATTCCATATTCCAACTGTGGCTAAATTTAAATCCTAGCAATCTGTGCAACAGCAGAATCATAACTGCCATCCATTAGCAGGAGAAGGCTGTGACGCTGTTTATGAATGAATACTCAAACACAGTTAGGGAAAGGAATGTGATACATGGATCAGAGGGAAAGTACCAAATACTCAAGCTCTGCAAAGCTAAGCAAGGCCCTGTTAATAAAAAGCCAAGAAAATAAAATGATTTACAGTACAATCTTACACAGTTACTCCAGTCTAAGCTTACCAATTTTAATTAGATTTTACACCAAATTTATGATCTTCAATGCTTTTGGTCAATATTATCTTATTTTAGGCACAGTTGCTTTTTAAAAACTAAGTTGGTGAACCTCGGTATCATCTTCTCAGCTACTGAGATGCATTTTAAATACGGTGCTCAATGGGAGACTTGGTTTGGCCACTGAATGTGGTCATGAAAATGGCTGAACAGCCTTAGCAAAATGAGAGATCACAGCATGCATGTGTTGTTTGTCCTTTAAAGGCACTAGCTTTGCAATAAAAAAGGATACTTCTTTGTAGCAGAGCAAAGATGAAGGGCCACCCGGTCAGACACATCTTCCTCTGAGATGCTCCACAGCCTTTTTCTAGCTAAAGATTTTTCTACTGAGAAGACAAGCTGGTAGAAGAAAAAAACAAAAACAAACATTAGTTCTCTAGTTCTTATGAAAAGCACAGAAGAACCACCTGGAATTGTAACTGCTAAAAGCAAAATGTCATCCCTAAGCAAGAATTTACGGCTTTACCCATCTCATGCAACTCTATAAAATCTTGGATGCAGAAAGAAAAAAAAGAGAGAAAGGAGAAGAGGCACACTGCCAATCCCTGGGAAACAAATATTGTTGAACATCCATTACACAAAGCTACAGGTTTAAATAAGTAACAAAACCACTTAACAGATATATGAACAAAACAAAACCACAGATGAATCCATACAAAACCACTTGCTGACTACATGACAACAGCATCACTTATTGCAGTGACAGTTTCATTCAGCCTATCCTTATTCTTATTCCGTATTCAATTCTCCCCCCTTTTTCATGTCACATATCCCTGCTGCCATAAAACTTACAGGGTGACCCTGGGCCACTCACGCTGTCTAACCTACCTCACAGGGCTGTTGTGAGGATAACTTCGGGAAGACAGAGTCATGCATGTCACTCTGAGCTCCTTGAAGAAAGGACAAGATAAAAATATACTAGAAACATAAGAGAGCATTCTTCTTGTTGTTTTTACCTCTATTCTGCTGCTTCTGTTGGAAGAGAAAGAGACAGCTCTCTTCAGTTCCTTCCCTAACAATTTCAATTCTCTTTGTTCTTGTCCAGCGTTCTACAACCCTTTCTTCATCTACTCAGAATTCTATGATCTCATAGTAACCCTGCCAGTTACCATGTATGTTGCTAACAAATATGCCCCTGTCAGGATATTTCATTTTCCAACTTGAATCTCAGTTACCATGTAAACCACACAAGAAACTGCCACACCTGTCTCCACAAGCAACCTGCTCTTAGGTTAGAGTTTAACAAGTAAACTGGCTTTAGTGCTTAACAAAATGATGGAGGTATACTGGGGCCATTTACAACTGATTGCCTAATAAAGATTGCAATAGTAAAGGTAAAGGTTTCCCTTGCTCGAAAGCCAGTCAAATCTGACTCTAGGGATGCGGTGCTCATCTCTGTTTCCAAGCCAAAGAGCCAGCGCTGTCCAAAGACATTTCCTTGGTCATGTGGCCGGCATGACTAGATGCCGAGGCGCACAGAGCGCTGTTACCTTCCCACTGAAGCGGTACCTATTTATCTACTTGCATTAATTTTTGTCAATGCCGCAAAAAAAGTTTCCCACAGCTCGGATCCATTTTTAGTGTCCTGTCTTAGGCTTTTTGAGATCTGGGCCCCTTTCCTTGAAAGCCCTTGTTTAAAACTGCAGCAGCTCCTTCTCCCATTCTGTAAAGATTTTTATGATTTCGATCTCACCAGAAAGCCAATGATCTCTTCCACCATGTGGTATCCTGTTTCCACATTCTCCAGATGCTGAAAACTCCTGTTTCAGGTTTAATTTTGGGTTCTGAATTTCTGACCTTCCCCCAAATCCTCTCTAACTTTTCAAATCATCTCTCTCAGCTTATCCCATCTAGCCCCCTTTTACCATTTGAGATCTATTTTTCTATTTTCCCATTTGAGCCACGAAATTCTGCCCAAGAATAGCCACGTTCATTTTGCCAAAGAAACATTTTGATTTATCTTCATAAGTGTCATTGTATGCCCTGATCACAAACCTCTCCTTAAGCATTTGGTCTATGCTGTGACCCTCCCTTGATTCTAACAAAACGGCTCCTGAAGCCCTAAAGCATTTCTCCTTAATGCTGTAGCCCATTGAGTGCTCTGCTGCAGTTCAGACAGGGCCTGCAAAACAAGCACGCATCCCATTCTTTAAAAAAAATCTGTTCTCCCCTCTCCTATTCACATTCTGCCTATGTAGACACTTCTCTTTTTACTGCTCCGCTTTAATTGGTCAATTAAAATCTCCACTTCCTGCTTCTTGGGCAATTCATGCAAGCTAAACACAAGCTGAAGTGCTGCTTTAAATTCCCCAAACATCACGGCACTACTCTCTCTATATTTTCCCCTGAAAATCTGAAACATTGTGATGCCTCAAAGAAACTGGCAATGTCAGTGTTGCCGGCACCTGTGATTGCTGGGTCTATACAGCTGCAGAGTTATCTCTCAAAAGTGTCACGTGAAGCTGCCTTCTACTGAATCAGACCATCAAGGTCAGTGTTGTGTATTCAGACTGACAGCAACTCTCCAGTTTCTCAGGCAGAGGCCTTTCACACCACCTACTGCCAGATCTTTTAACTGGAAATACCGGGGATTGAACCTGGGACCTTCTGCATGCCAAGCAGTTGCTCTGCCACTGAGTCACAGCCCCCCCCCCATGTCTTGCCCACCTACTATCTCCTCCTCTTCTTTTAACTCCTCTCTTGGGTCCCTCTGCTGCTGCTGCTTCCCTGTGCTACTGCTTCCCACAACTTGTTTCAGCTCCTTTCTTTACTAACCAGTTTTCTCCCTTCCTCTCTGCCAATGCTCTGTGTACCTCCTTCATCCGTCCAACATTCTATGGCTACAGAAGATATCTTCATGGCTTCTTTCAGGAGCCCCCTTTGACAGCAAAGCTATCATGTGCAGGGTTCAGTGTAGTACGCTTAGAATGCAACCCTAAGAACACTTTCCTGGAAGTAAACCTCACTAAATAGACCAGAATAGGGTTCTGAGTAGACCTGCTTAGGATTGCTCTGTTATATAATGATACCCAAGGCTGCAAGTACAGAAATGAGCTCTGCCTTAGTATTTCTTAGGGCTATATTAGTTGATACTATTTACCTTGCGCAGAATATTTTGGATTTCTTTTGACAGCTCTGGAACTGCAACGGTGAAGACACCAAGAACTAACAGTCCTCCAGGAAGCATTCTTGACACCTACCAAGATAAACCAATGGACATAATTTGTTCTCATAATTTCTAGATGTGTATCAAAATATTTCACTGATTGATGCTTCCACGTACGTGACAGTAAAAATGTTTGTAAAGCTACTGAAATCAGTATGCATGGGACATTAGATGCAGAAAGGGGCTATATATGATTCTATAGGTAGCAATTTTTGCTTCTTCTAAACAGACACCTCTTTTACCTGTACAATTGATCTGAATTGCCCCCAACTCAAAATTGTACTTTATGAAGTACAGATCTTGCTGGTATCCATGACTTCGATGATTTGTCAGCTCTTTCCATGATCCAGCATTGCAGTATTTAATGCATTAACAACTGGATGTTGCAATGACAAACTGTCACACTTCCAGGGCATTGTAAACATCTCAGAAAACTGCAGCGTGGCAGACTGGCCTGGCTATGAACCTGGAAAACCTATTACCGCATTGCTATCGTACAGCCTAACCTACCATTCAGAGTTGTTTCTGAGGCTGAAATCACCCAGGGTTCACTGAAGGATGACGAACTTCAAACGTAATAAATATCTAACCTTACACTAATCCAGCCCCCTTTTTTTAGTTGCACAGGACTAAAGCACAGGGCATTTACAATAGTTTTCCACTCAGGAGATAACTTCTTTCCATCACAGTATGAAACAACTTAGTTCACAAATCAACAAAGTCAAGAATGCCAATGAGATCTGAATTCCCAATCCGTGAGATCTTATAAGACTCAGTAGGAAGAAACAACATTGGTCTATATGATGCCATGAATATTGCATTTGTTGTAAACAATAATCATAACAAGTATAGACTGAGTAAGAAACAGAACGGAGAAAGATTTCAGTGACTGGAAATTCAGTAGACAGATGCACATTGGAGTCCAATTACTTTAGGACTGATAGAGGTAATACTAAATTCAAGTGTTTGTAAAAGAGACAACATGGTTTAGTAGACCATGTTGGACTGGGATCAGGGAGACCCAGGTAACTTCTGGGTAACCTTGGTCCAGTCGTCATTATCAGATGTTAGTAGAAAATAGCAGAATTATTATTAGAAATAGCCAGGCCGGTATGCCACAGTGAAATTAGAAATATAATAGGGGACTGCTCACTCTCTCCCTTCTCCCCCAAGTGACGTCTCTATTCTCATTTAAATACCTCCTCATGAAGGTCACAGAAAGTGCCCTTAAGTAAATCACATTTCTGAGACAAATCTTCTTGAGTGAATTGTTGCCAGGATTAAGTTGCCCTTTTTCTGACATTCTGAGCTCCTTGGAGAACCAGTGTTGGTGCAGTGATTAAACTAGGAGATGGGAGAAGTAGGTTCAGATCCATACTCTGCCATGGAAGGCTACGGGATGGCCTTTGGCCCATCACACAGTCTCAGCCTAACCTACCTCACAAAGCTGTAAACTGATATGGGTCTCCACTGGGGAGAAAAGCAGGGTATAAATGACGTAAATAAATAATAAGTAAAGTTTGCAAATTAAGGAAACAGGCTACCAAAACTCTGGTGATAGCTTACTACAGTCCAAAGAACAAAGTTTGAGTCCAGTGGCACCTTTGAGACCAACAAAGTTTAATTCTAGGTATAAGCTTTCGTGTGCATGCACACAAAAGCTTATATGCAGAATTAAACTTTGTTAATCTCAAAAGGTGCCACTGGACGCAAACTTTGTTCTATTGCTTCAGACAAACATGGCTACCCACCTGAATCTTACTAAAATCCAGTCTTGTAACATGAAAGCAAGATAGGAAGCAATAAGAAAATAATTATTTGCTCTTGCTTTAAAGAACCACCACCAAACATGTTACCTGGTTGGCATGTGCTGTTGTCCATTCCTCATCAATGCTAGACAGCGTCGAACTGTAACTGGCATTGCTTTTGCTTTCTTCCTCTTTTGGAGGGGTCTGGATGGCTAGGAGAACATAGTCCCTTTGTGGGGAGCACTGGGAAATGGGACAGGACAAAAAATAGCACTACAGTGATTTAAAAGATCTTAAATAAGATAAATAGCTGTTTGAAAACAAAGCCGCTGATACAGGCACATTTCACTCTAAACTGTGGTGCTGTATGTAAGAGGTAGAAGTTTGACTCAGAGCTTATGTACATGTAGAGTAAGGCGTACCTAAAGCTATTGATTCTAGGAATGTAGGCATACCTCACTTTGTGTAGAATCAGATGGTCTTGCAGATGGATTGTTCCCCAGTTAAAACATCTGAGTTATTTTCAAGGGCAGCCCTACACAGAGCACAGTGCAGTAGAACAGTCTGGACATTACTGATGCCTGGTTTAATGTGGAAAAAACAGCTCAATCTGTGAGGGATAAGAGCTACCATGCAAGATGAAGATGGGGAAAAATTATTTCTGGCAATCACAGCAATCTCTTTGCAAAGGACTGGCCAAGTCTAACAAGATTTGCACTGCAAATAATCCTGCAGAAGTTCATTTGTGCAATTCCCAGTCACATCTATGGCAACTGTGAAGGACAGCCTGCTGCTGGACAGGTCTGCAACAACCAAGATGTAGTTTTTAAAAAATAGCAGTAATTCAAAGTTTAATGATAGGCGCAGCAGTATTTTTATCTCAAAGAGAAGAGACTCCAATTGTAGTAAAATAGAAAACTGGTAACGCAGCCCCCCACAGATGCTAAAAAAAACCCAAGACACTTACCTGCCCAACCAAGAGGCCAGTGATAAGAGGCTTAGATTTGGTGGTGAGTTCTGACAGATACTGTCCCACGGTTTCTTCTACGAAATAGCTTCTTCCCATTATTGCAATTATTTAACAGCCTAAGCTATAAACTTGAAAAGAATTAAAAGGACAGACTGAACAACACTTGCATAGCAGACTTTTTGGGGGGCAAAAGACATAAAGCAATAATTCATAACGGGGCAAAAGACATAAAGCAATAATTCATACCTAATTCAGTATTCCATTGGATAAACTCAGGCTGTATGTATCCCCACTATCTCTGCTTTCTGCCCCTTTATTGTTCCTCACATCTCAATCCCAACAATATTGCTTTCCCAAGGGGTTTCAATTGTGCAGTTTCCAGTGCTCTATCATGGCAAGGTTTCCCTTCCAGCCACATGATTATTATTTCCCAAACAATATCAGCCCCTAAATTCTTTCGGGCTGCAGTTCCATGGACATTCACATGGGAGCCAGCCCTATAAAACAGAATAAGGGCTCCTCATGTTCTTTTTTTTAAAAAGCAGTAGAAGAAGGCCCTGACCTGGATAGCCCAGGCTAGCCTGATGGTATCAGATCTCAGAAACTAAGCAGGGTCGGCCCTGGCTAGTATTTGGATGGAAGACTTCCAAGGAAAACCAGGGTCATCATGTGGAGCTAGGCAGTGTTAAACCACCTCTGAAGGTCTCGGCACTTTCCATCCACCACCAAAGAAGAGTAGGTATACTCTGCTTTTCTCTAGTTTAAGGAGTCTCAAAGTAGCTTACAATTGCCTTTCCCTTCCTCTCCCCACAACAGGAACCTTGTGAGGTAGGTGAGGCTGAGTGAGTTCTGAGAGAAGTGTGACTGGCCCAAGGTCACACAGCAGGCTTCATGTGCAGGAGTGGGGGAATCACACCAGACCTCCAGATTAGAGGCTGCCACTCCTTAACCACTCACTACACCACACCTGGCATGCACCACAGGTACCAAACACCAACAGAAATTGGCCAATCACAAAGCACTGAGAGGCTCCAAGGTGAGCATCCTTCAACAACAGCAGCAGCTACTGCCAAACAGGCACTCCCTGCAAAAGCGCTTTCTGGATTCATTTGAAGAATCACGTGCCCCGAGGCGGTGGAGGAAAACTGGGATACGCTCCTTGGTTTCAGTTCCAAAGAAAAAGGAAAGTTTGCTCCGCGCACAGTGATGGGGAGAGCCCAGAGTCACCGAACAGCTGGATTCGAGCGCAGTAGCACCTTACAGGCCAACAGGATCTACAGGGTATGAGCTCCTCCGTACAAAAGATCCCGTATACAAAGAAAACTAGTTTGCGAGGGAGGAAGACCCTAACCTAGAAACTAGCTTTCTGCATGCAACGATCTTCCTCCTGACACAAGAGCATTCAGCCTGCCAGACTCTACCCTCGCAGTTTGAGGGGGCACGGCCCAGACAACCGGTTGACCTCAAGTACGGAGAAGGAATTACTCTTGAGTAAACACAAGGAAGGGCGAGCAAATTTCGCGGTCCTCTTGCACCCAGAAGAGACCGAGTCCTCTCCAGCTTCCCCTGAGAGCTTAACTGAACTGAAATAATAAACAGCCCAGAGCCACGCTTACGTGCACGGAGGTGAGCCCCGTGGGCTACGCAAAGAACCGCAATCCAGGGTGTTTTCCGCCCCCCGCTTCCAAGCACCGTCACCACACCAGCGCTACTCCCCTCGCGCCTCGTCACCCAGTCACTTCACTTCTCACACACACTGATGTGTCCTGACCACCGTCATTGACGGGAGCCGCTTCACCCCCTTGCTCAACGGGGCGCATTTTGATAACGTAAAACCTTCGTTAAAAAAAAACGCGGGAACGCGGGTTCGTGTTGTGCACCATCTTGAGTGTGGCGGACATGTATCCACAGCGCAAGAACTTTTTAATTTTTTGATTAAATTATCTGTACCTCCCCTTAAAAGCCTGCCCATTTGGCATAATCTTTCACAATTACAACCCAGTCATGATAAACTGACACACTCAACATGGCATCCAACCAAAGGCGCTAGTGGTGTGTGTCGTTTTAGGTAGCGGAAGGCGTGATTCGCCTTCAAACCACCCAATGAGCGTGTTTGTTTGTCTCCTTTCTTCGCTGAGCGTCACGCGCCTGCGTCAGCTGATCTTCTCGCATGCGCCCTGGATGCGGCTGAGTCGTTTCCCCCTTTTCCTTCTGCCCTTCGCAAGTCTGTATTGGTGGAGGGAGGGAGGGGGTTGCCCTCGCCTCCCCCACTTCCAAGATGGCGGCGGTGCTGCAGCAGGTCTTGGAGCGGGCCGAAGTGGCCAAGCTGCCCAAAGCCGTGCAGGGGAAGCTGGAGAGGTTCCTGGCTGATCAGCAAAGCGAAATAGATGGGCTCCGCGCCAGGCATGAGCGATACAAGGTGGACAGCGGTGAGTGAGGCTCAGCTGGTCTCGAGTCCTGGCGGCGAGGTGGACCGCAGGCTCCTGAAGTGGGGAGAAAGAGGACAGCTCTTACGTAGGATCTTCCTGTCTGTATAACCATTTTATTGTTGGATTGGGTTTTTAAATTTTATATTATATTAAATTTTATATTATGTTTAAATTTACTAAACTATCTGATGTTTTTATGAGCAAGTTTCTTGCCTTGTAAGCCGCCCTGAGCCCTTCGGGGGAGGGCGGGGTATAAATTTAACAAACAAATACATAAATAAATATATTTTTATCCCGCCCTGCCTCCAAGGAGCTCAGGTGGCGTACATCGTTTTCTCCCTTTTCCATTGAGATCGATCAGGATGGGTAGCCATGTTAGTCTGTCTGTAGCAGTAAAAAAGAGCAAGAGTCCAGTAGCACCTTAAAGACTAACAAAATATGTGGCAGGGTAGGAGCTTGCTCGTGAGTCACTGCTCACTTCTTCTAGCTGTATCTGAGGAAGTGAGCAGTGTTCCCTCTAAGCTCAGTTAGTGTGAGCTAGCTCACAGTTTTTAGCCCATTTTTGTCTTAGCTCAGGAAGGGATGGCTCCAGAGCAAACTAATTTATGTAGTAGTCAAATCGCTTGCTCACAACTTTAATGCCAGTAGCTCACAAAGCAGAATTTTTGCTCACAAGACTCCACAGCTTAGAGGGAGCATTGGCAGTGACTCTTGAAAGCTCATACTCTTCCACATATTTTGTTAGACTTTAAGGCGCTACTGGACTCATGCTCTTCCCTTTTCAATTGTATTCTCACAATAGCTGTCTGTGGAGTGGGTCTCTCCCAGTCTAAGTGGATTGATTACTCCTTGCTTTTTACGTTGGCCTCTCCTTGTAACATCTCACTTCCCCCTTTCCCCATCTCTCTCTCTCTCTCTTTTTTGGCTTGGACTCCTAAGTGTAAATTTAGCTGCTTTGAATGCATACTCTGAGTCCATACTTGGAATGAACTGATCTTTTATTTGCAAAAGTATATGCTAGAACTAATGTTGTTGGATTTTTAACCTGCTGCTATATGCCCCTGTAGTCATCATGTGAGGCTGAGAGGACGTGCCTAGGGCAGATCTGGGATTCAGAACCTGGTCTTCTCAGGCCTAGCCTAACCAGCCACAGTTATGAACATCCCGTAACACTTGTGTTAAAAAGAATGCATTCAAATTTGTAAATGTGCTGCCTAGGCCAGTGCACTTAAGCACTACATCAGACTGGTATTTTGTTTCTCAGACTAGCCTACCTCATAGGATTGCTGTGAGTAAAATATGGAGGGGAGGAGACCCATGTATAACAGAATTTCCATGGATAAATGATTTTTTTCCCCTGGCTTATATACCGTGATTGGATTACGAACCGTGCTAGATTGGGTGCGCTGAGGGTATCTGCTAGGGGAGCCCTACTAAAACTAAGCTGGTATGGGTCTAGTTGGATGGGACATCTGTATTGAGCAGGGGATCGGATTTGATGATCGCCATGGTCCTTTCCAAATACTTATATTTGTAATTGTGGGCATCTAACAAAGTCCATGCTGTGTCCCAAAGATGTCACAGGAATCTTTGATTTTCCTACAGGCCCTTAGGAATTTAATCCTTTCAGTACCTTGTCACACCAGATTTTCAAAAGAGGTCACTGAGAACACCTGGTTGCTGCTGCCTATTCTGCATGTGTCAGTTTCAGCTTTCCTGGCTAAATGTTATGTAAAGCTAAATGTTATACAAAACCTTAGATCTTGTTGTTTTTAAGCATAGGTGCTGTTGTTCATTGCTACCTTTAGAGTTTTCTTTTACTCTTAAATATGCAAACTGGAAGGAGGGCTGTTGGACATTTCTTTGGACACACAAATCCTGCCTTCTCAAGAATAGTTTATACAACAACAGCAAATTTATTCACAGCAAAAAGCCAGCACTAATGCAACAAACTAACTCAAACCAAATTCATACAATCACAAACATAAATGAAATATATAAAATGAATATCAAATAGAGCATGCATGTAAAACCTGTTAAGTCCTGTAACTGCTATATATGTAGGGAAAATTAGGAGTACAGGAACCTTTTCATGGACTCCCATTCCCACTGTGTTCATTGGGAAGGGAGAGAAACTGGCAGGGATCCCAGTTGCATCAAGAAAGAGAGACAGTTGTTTTAAAGAACCTCTTATTTATTGAACTTGAAAGCCAAAATGTAAAACCTTTCAAACATATAAGAATCTGATATTCAGCATACAAAATTGACTCATGTTTCTTAATTCAATACTTAAATATAGTGCACTGTAGAAGAAGAAGAAGAAGAGATTGGATTTATACCCCGCCCTTCACTACCCAAGGGTGTCTCAGAGCGGCTTACAAACTCCTTTCCCTTCCCCTCCCCACAACAGACACCCTGTGGGGTGGGTGGGGCTGAGAGAACTCTGACACAACCTGCTCTTTTTCAAGGACAGCTGTGCCAGAGCTTGCGACTGACCCAAGGTCACATCAGCAGGTGCAAGTGGAGGAGTGGGGAATCAAACCCGCTTCTCCCAGATTAGAGTCCGCACACTTAACCACTACACCAAACTGGCTCTATAAAGGATATCCTTGGTGCTCTGTCAAGACCCATAACAGAGGGTGGTTGGCCAGAATAACAAGGAACAAGAGTAAATTCAGACATTAGGTACCTTTCCCCATCTATAGGAGCTAATGTAACAGTCAGGTCTGTGCTGAGCATCTGATGTACTCCACAAAGCCCAGCTCCTTCCACACAGTGAGGCATGAAATTTGCCTGTAATTAAAACAATTTCTGTGAGGACAAAAAGCCCTGACTATCCTGGCATCTCTTCAAGTAACAATCTGTATGTTATCGGTGGTTCAGGATTACTCCGGGTAACCTCTCTGTGTCAAAGAAGAACCACGGAGACACATACCCCATACCTAAATTGTTGCATGCTCAAAAGGAATTGTTTTCAGGATTACTCTGGGTAGCCTCTCTGTGTCAAGGAAGAACCACGGAGACACATACCCCATATCTAGATGTTTAGACTGTTACTATGGCCTCTGGAAATGTAAACCATTCTTTTCTAGGACAGAGTGCATTGTCTCTGACAGTGCTTGTTTGGGAGCAGCTAACCACAAAGCTTTATGGGGGGAAATCAAAGAATTTCATACATACCGTAGCATTTAATACAAAATGAGTTTGCAAGGGACTGAGGCTCAGTTGAGACCCCAATTCCACAACAATATCATCTTTTCCCCCTCTGTTTGCTAGCCGCTACCCACAAAACCGAGCAATACGGAGATACAATCATCTTACTAGCCTAGAAGTAGTGATATTTCAAGAAGTCTTATAGTGCCTTAATTTTTAAGACAATAAATGTAACCAACTGTAGGTCATTTATGCATTTATTTCACCTAGAACTAGTAAATCAGTGGGCGTGATGAACTATGTTTTGTTTAAACACAATAGAGCCACTGTCATGAGTTTTATTCCCTTCATATCACTTCTTGGGGGACTACTAGGCCTGTCAGTTTAAAGGGTGCCCAACTGCCATTTTAGCATTGGTCAGGTATTCTTTCAAGCTTGATTCAAGGTTTGATGTCTAACCCACACCTGCAAAATGGGTAAAATTGATTCTGGGGAGGAATTTGGTTGCTCATTATGTATGTCATGTACATTGTTTTAATGCTTGGACCACACACCCTGCCTTGAATTCACGGATTGCTCAAGATCCAAGGGAAGGACCCTCAGAAGCTTAACCTGTCAGGCCTCCAGGCAAAATATGAAGGATTCATTTATTCCTTTCCCCTTTGCAGTGTGTGCAACTGACAGCAGCCAGCTCTTCTGTGCTCTTTGCCTTGACACTGTCAATTTTATCTTCTGCTATTATTTGCTCTCGTATTTGGGTTATGGCTCTATAAACTGCAGTGGCTGCACTGGTAGAAGCATTGAGTTTCCCCAACAGTCATATGTTGCAGTTTGAGTGGAGAAAAAATGCATTGTCTCCAAACAAGAATCATAAAGAAATAAAAATATCTGAATTTAGTGTAACAGATAACCAGCAACCCATGTATGTTCATTATAGGTTCCTGACGCAGTGTCTAGAGAGACCTTTTACATATAAACTCTGCAAAGAATGTGCATTTCTCAGTGTTGTTTAATTGTCATGACACAAGTTCAAAGCATGATGATAGTAACTTTGCAATTGCTGGTTGACTTGCATAATAGGTTCTTCCGTTGAATTATATTGGTACAGTGCCTGTGGCAAGATCAGTCATGGTGATTATTTGAAGTTCTCAAGTAAGGGTCTGTGGGTATGTTTTGTTTATGCTTGCCTCAATACAGTAGTTGAAACAGCATCTGTGATAATGGGGGTTCTTCAAGGGTGAGACAAGTGATGAGTCTCCCCTGTTTAACAGGTTGTTGTTGTTCAGTCGCAGTCAAGTCCGACTTTTCGTGACCCCATGGACCACATCATAAGAACATAAGAGACGCCAATGTTGGATCAGGCCAAAGGCCCATCCAGTCCAACACTCTGTGTCACACAGTGGCCAGAAATACCAGTGCCATCCGGAGGTCCACCAGTGGGGCCAGGACATTAGAAGCCCTCCCACTGTTGACCCCCCCTCCAGCACCAGGAAGACAGAGCATCACTTGCCCCAGAGCCCCATCTATACCTTGTGGCTGTTATGCTAATGAGTTCCTGCTGGGCGTGGCCAACTCAGGAGCCAGCCGGAACTCCGTTCCTGTGCGTTCCCGCCCAAAAATAGCCCTGGTTGTAAGGCATCTTATGTATTTGTGTTAATTGTCGGGACAGGATGGGTTGGGGAAACCTAAACACACGCCTTCCTAAATTTGGAGCATCAGGTTAATTTGGGGTGGCCTCTGTACAACCTCTGATTGTCAGTTCTACCCTTAGTTTCCAGATTTATCTCTTCTTCCATCGCACCTTCTTTATGTTGAAGCTTTTTTTCTTCCTATGAGTTTGACTGTCTCCAGGTGTTATGCTCCAGTGAATGTATTTGCCACTCAGAGCTTCATGTGTCAGTTGAAGCCAAAAGGAGGGCCCCACTCTAGCCATTGTTTAATTTCTTGCCAGCTTAGGATACTGAGGCTCTTCAGCCACTCACTTCCTCGTCGTATCTTTAAGTGAGAAGTGAAGAACTGGAGATGGGCTTAGAGATGTAAAATTTCTGAAAATTTTGAAGCTCGGAAAAAAACCCTTTTTTTCCAGAAAAAAACGGAAATTTTTGGAAAAATTGAAAAAATGCTACATTAGCATTTCTTTTGTCTTTTCTAGATTGAAAGTCATTCTGTTACTTTAGGAACATAAAATATGACTATGGACATTTTTACTTGGCATGAAATTATCACAACTAGTCATATTAAAAATATAGTGTATCCAAACAATTATTTCAAACAGAATACCCACCCACATCCAAAAACAAAACTGAAACTTTTTCATTTTCTTCTGACAATCGCACCTCCTAAAGGAAGAAATGCATCTTGTTCTTGCATTGGAGGGTTCAGTTTGTAACCTAGGACTTGCTTGTCCTCAGTGCACAGAAATTAGATCAATCTGATACCATATATATATATATTTTAGAAATGATTTGGAAAATATTTGAACACCTTGTCTTAAAATATTTTATACATCATGTTAAAATAAAACGTTCCATAATCATTTTTTTTCTTTTTTCAATTTTTTTGGGGGAAAAAGGCTTCAGGGGAAAAAATGGGGGGGGAAAGTTTCCCCCCTGAATTTTTCCGTTTTTTTTTCCAGGCCTTCACATCTCTAGGTGGGCTCAACATTATTTTTAGAGTTTGTATAAAACAAGATTGTCAAAATGTTTTTAAAAAGCAGATTTAAAAAACTAAGTGACTCAATGGAGGGGGAGAAGAAAAATGGTTAAAATAGCTGCTTGGGGTCAGAGAGTAAAGGTAGGAAATGCAGTCAGTTGGGAACTTCTGTCTAATAATCCTGTAATGTGCCTCTCTCACAACAGTGTCTCTAGTGTTTATTAATCTTGTCTCTGATTGCTGAATCAGGTAGAATGTTCACATTAAAATGTTGCATGCTCAAAAGGAATTGTTTTGCAGCTCTTCTACAACGTTGTGCAGTGAGGATGGTGAGTCTTGATTTGTATAGTTTATTGGGAGAATAAATTCTGAAGCAGTGTGATGTATGTTTTGCAGAGCAACAGTACTTTGAAGTAGAAAAACGCCTGGCTCAAAGTCAGGAGAGACTTGTAAATGAAACACAGGAATGTCAGAATCTCCGCCAGGAACTCAGCAAGCTTAGTAAGTATGGCATTGTGTTAAGTAGACAGCTAAATATTATGAATTGTGATTGGTTTGTGATGTTTTTAAATGTGTATGGAAAGATTAAGTTTTGCCAGTGAAAAATAAGTTTATTTGCCCCTTGGTTCTCCATGAGTTTTCATTCTGTGCTGAGAGGTGAATGTTGCTTGGATCCAGCAATCCACTGGTGTAAAGAGTGTGGATCTGAGTTGTGTTTCCCCTCCTTCCCAAATGGGAAAACTGATTCCTGGGGTTGAGAGACCCTTGAGGACTAGCAGCAGTGCAGGTCAGGAGGCTGCACAGTAGGATAGAAAATGAAATTTACCTTCCCCCTTCTGCAAGGGCTGCTGTGCTGATGTAGGAGAGAGGAGAGAGGATTTCACCCACTTCTCCTTCCTCACTGCAGTCCCTCGTGCCACATTGCATGTCGGGGGAAGATCCGTATCTATTAGCATCTCCCATGATGGATCCCGGGCTCCATCCCTGTGTGATTTAATCATTTAGATATGTTTTCTCAGGACTTTAAAACCTAGAGTAATAAAGCCAAGCTCTAAAACAGTGCTAAAGCCTGTAACAGGTGAACAGAGGTGCCTATTATCATGCACAGCTTCATCTGTGAAACCCTTTAGCACTGAAAGCTGTCTTTCTTTGGAAGTCAGTGACAAAATGCCTACCACTTCCAGAAGGCACTAAAAGCAAATTATCAAGGAGAATCTCATGATGGAAGGGAGCCTGCAGAGAATTTTGCATGCCCTCATTGTCTGGGCCCGGGATGGATTTGATAAATCAGGTAACTGGTGTTGGTCACAGTTATATGAAGATATCCTATGGGAATGAGCACATCTGGCCCAAGCATATTTCTGTTTGTGCTTTTAAGGGGGGGGGGGGAGAATAGCGTAACAATTGCCAACAGGCAGACTTATTTAAGTGCAAAAATAAAAAAATGTCCTTCAATTTTCCTCTTCAGATGACCAATTAAAATCATTGACTGAGAAAAACAAAGAACTGGAAATTGCTCAGGAGCAGAATGCAGCTACACAGGTACAAACCTCATCAGTTACATAAGGAGATGGAGAGCCAGCATGATGTAGTGGTTAGGAGTGGCGGACTCTAAACTGGAGAACCGGGTTTGAGTCCCCACTCCTCCACATGCAGCCAGCCGGGTGACCTTGGGTCAGTCACAGCTCTCTCAGAGTTCTTTCAGTCCTATCTACCTCACAGGGAGTCTGTTGTGGGGAGGGGAAGGGAAGGAGATTGTAAGCCGCTCTGAGACTCCCGAGTGAAGGGTGGGGTAGAAATCTAACTCGTCCTCCTCCTCTTCCATTTAGTTTTTAACAAAACTTGCCTTCTGTGCATGTAGGACTCTGTTTACCTCCCTGTCATCTTCGGTTGTAAATGCTGACAGGATTTTAAAATACAGGCTGAAGAGCAAACTATATATTTGCATTGAAGAGTAGTCAGCTGTGTCTGTTCACCTTCTTCTCTGCAGCTTTTTCTGTCCATGCATATGTATATTTAGAGGGTGGATTGGAGATAGCCGCCGTTTATTTTAGTATAGTTAGTATATTATTTTTAGTCTTCATCCTTTGTATGTAAACTGAAATTTAGGACATCTTGCTGACATTCTCAAATACTCAGATTAACAGACCCGTTAACTTCAAGCCTTTTCAAGGAAACAAAATCAGTGGGAATGGTGTGGTTGAAGTTGTTTGAATGTGAGCTGCTGCACTGGTGTCATCTTGTCTGACGCCTCTATGATTTATAACCCCTCAATCCGGGATATAGAGAACTGGTGAGGATGCCAAGAACCTTGGAGTAGGCAGGTTCCTGTTCAACTGTGTAATGATGTTTACCTGCTTGTATACCTTGAACGACCAGCAATACCAATTTGGACTTTTTCTGGCAGTGAACCATAATATATTTCTGAAACAGAAATATTCCAGATTAGAAGTATTTGGGACAGTAGGATTCTTGTTGTCATCCCACCCACCCCACAAAAAACAACAACAAACCAACCAATTTGGGGTCCATAACAGTTTTTTGTCTATGATTTAATTCATGCTTCCTAAACCAAGATGGATTGAGAGCAGTGTTCCCTCTAAACTGAGTTAGTCTGAGCTAGCTCACAGTTTTTTAGCCTCTGGCTCACACATTTTTGTCTTAGCTCAGGAAAGATGGCTCCAGTGCAAATTAATTTATGCAGTAGCCAAATCACCTGCTCACAACTTTAATGCCAGTAGCTCACAAAGTAGAATTTTTGCTCACAGGGCTCCACAGCTTAGAGGGAACATTGATTGAGAGCGCTTTAATACGGTATCCTGTGTTCTTAAAGCGTTACTTTCCCCCCCGTATTTTAAGGGTCAGCTAAACAGAGCAAAAGAAGAATTGGAAGCAGAGAAGAGAGATTTGGTCCGAACAAATGAAAGAAGAGCACAAGAACTGGAGCACTTAAATGGTAAAGGACTGAGACAACAAAAGCCTTTGCTGGTGGATGGTCTTGTATACTTGAAGGGCAGTCTTTCAGTGGCTCTTTTAAGAGGTCAGACGTACTGCAGAAATGGCGCAGCAGTTGAAGCTGTTATCATTTTGTTCTTGCTTGCAGGAACTAAACACATGGAGGGGCGTACTTAGGGCAGCATTGGCATCTGTATTCTGTGGACTACAGTATTAGATGGGCTGCTTGTACCACTGTGTGTTGTCTGGACCTTTTCCACTGCCTTTCCACCTCCCCGTTTCCAGTGATCCCCTTTCTATACCTTAGTGTACACTTGAAGCAGCCCCTGTGCAGTTACCTCGAGAGCATATCAGACTCCTATGGAAGTGCTGATGCTGCACATGGCTTTTCTCCTATGATGGTGGCAGCTGAAGGAAGTTCCACTTTTATCTTTGACATCTTGGAAGCCATTTGTACACCACGCAAGGAGGTGTTGGGTCATTCAAATGGCTCCCCTCCACAAGAGCTGGCCAGTTGTGAACCCATTTCTCATTTGTTTCGGGCAAGAAAAGTGGCTTCCCTTCCAGCTTGTGTTCTGCTGGAAAGGTCTACATTGAACTGTGATGAACTTTGTCAAAGCCATGTTTTCCTTGTGTTCTTGCTATAGAAGCTTCCACATTTGTTTGGTAATGCAGTGCTCCCAGGGGCTCAGATAACTGTAATGAATAAATAGGAGGCACATAAGAGGCCTGAACACCAAGCAATGCAGTCAAGAAGATTTTTGTTACAGGTACCAGTGAATCGGATCATGCCTATGAAATGTTATGATTTGGTTTCTTTATGCTGATGCACTGGGGAGTCTTAAGTCTCTTCTTATAGGAATTGCAAGTAGAACAATGAGCACCTGAAATATTACAGAAAATAATGCTTTTACAACTCGCTAGGTCTTGCTATGAATCAGTTTTAATGTCTACAGGAGTAAATCAAATTAAAAAACCCTTTATTAAACATTTGGTCTATAGTAGTAATTGTCACAAAGTAATTTATGTTAGTGTCTGGGTTTTCTGATGTTTTGCAGAGGAGGTTAGACGTCTGAATGAGAAACTTACAGAAATAAACACCGCGAAGGTAGAGCTACAGTTAAAGCTGGATGACCTTGAGACGTCAGCCTTTTCTGTAAAGGTGAGTCTGAAAAAGCATGTTGGCCAGATCTCTACTGGTTTCCTCTGTAAAGATAAGACATTACCCTTATGTATTTTATCTTGTGCAAAGTTATTGCAGTCTAGCCTAATTGATATCAGTGGGCTTGGGCAGGAGTAACTCTGCACAGAATTGCAGTTTGTTGGTTTGTTGTTTTTTAAACCATCAGTATTCTCTCAGAAGAGTTAACTAAATATTTCCTCTTATGATGTTGTCTTCTTATAACATATTTTAAACAGTATGGTTTATAACATGTAAGTAGTGGGCAGATGGTTAAAGAAGACTTAGAATAAATGCCCCTGGGGCTGCCATTCTTATAACTCCATGTGGAAGATGAAGTTTGCTTGTACATAATCTATGATTTTACTTCTAGTACCGTGAGCAAAGGTGGGATCAAGAAAAGGAATTGCTGCAGGATCAGAACACTTGGCTGAATACCGAACTAAAGGCAAAAACAGATGAACTCCTGACTCTTGCCCGGGAAAAAGGAAATGAAATTTTGGAACTTAAATGTAATTTAGAGAACAAGAAAGACGAGGTAAAACAGCAAATCAGTTTTCATGTCTCAAAGCGCCTGTTCATAAAAAAACATTTAATCAAGGTGACAGTATCTCTTCTTGTCAAGTTAGCAGGTGAAATATTTACTGTACTGGGAGATTTGCTCTCCGTCTCTCGTAATCCAGATCACTCCATGAATAGGTCCATGGATAAAAACAACCAGAGGGGTAGAAAAACAAATGTCCATTGTTATATATTAGTAAGATACTGAGAGTATCTGTTTATAAGAGAAGTCATGTTACTAATCAAAATGTGCACAAGTGGCTTATTTTTTAATTTTGTTTTCAGTCTGTACGTTTCTTTGCAACTTGTAGGGCCACAAAGCAGCTGCATCAAAAAAAATGCAATTCAATACAAAATTAAAACAGCAGCGAGAATAACCTAGAAGCATAGCGGATACTGTGTTCAGAGTGTATATTTTATTGCTGTACTATAGTGGATATTTTTTAATGGAGGGTAATAGTATAAGTGTCGAGGAGGAGTAGAGGCAGCAGAGCATGTGCCAGTCCAACTGCAAGTGAATGGCACAGGTCAAAAATGGGAAGCAGTGGGAGTGGTTAGGCAAGGGAACAGGGAAGACAAGAAGGAGGGGGGATGAAAAGGCCAGTGAGAGAGTGACCAAGGGAGAGTGAAGCAGGAACAGAAAAATGGGATTTCCTGGATTTGTCTTAACTATTCAATTTTTAAAAGCTCTTCAGTATTGCGTGCTCATTTAGAATTTAAATTTGTGTCTGTAGTAGCTAGGTGGTAATTCTTTTGGATGGATCATTTTTACCCTTAATCTTACCCTTCTGCAGTTCAAAATTTGGCATTATTTCATGTGTAACAGAGCAGTCAATTATTACATAGGTGGCTTCAAATCTAAATCCAGGTATGGGCATCTTGCTTATGTCCCTCATTTTCGTAGGTTTCCAGGTTGGAGGAGCAAGTCAGTGGATTAAAGCAATCCAATGAAAATCTACAGAAACACGTGGAAGACCTTTTAGCTAAGCTGAAGGAGGTAAATACAGCTTCCTGTGCTTTGGGTTCTGTGACAGCACTGTGTGTGTATGTGACCTAGCTTCTCATTCGTATCTTGTACCTTGTAGAGCTCAGCATAGTACTGCAGTCCTGAGTCTGGTAATTAGAGTGGCCTTTACTTTAATGAGCAGGAGTAGGGTCTTGGATCTGAATTCCTTTGGATATCTTAATTGGGCACATGGAGACATGTTTAGAGAAATGACGGGGAGGGTGGGGTGTAAATTTAATAAATCAATCGATCACATCTTACTGACAGCATCGCCATCCAGTTACTGCAATATCTGGGAAGTATATGGAAACATAATGGTGGAAATAAATAGACATCAGTTTTGAAATCTCCAAACCATCTTCAACCCTAAAAAGGAAAGGATCTTAGCCTCTGTCACCAGTTTGGTGTGATGGTTAGGAGTGCAGACTCTAATCTGGGAGAACCAGGTTTGAGTCCCCGCTTCTCCACATGCAGCTGCTGGTGTGACCTTCGGTCACTCGTCTTTCAGAGTTGTTCTCTCATGAGCAGTCCTCGATAGAGCTCTCTCAGCCCCACCTACCTCACAGGGTGCTGGTTGTGGGGAGGGGAAAGGAAAGGAGATTGTAAGCCACTCTGGGACTCCTTCAGGTAAGTGACGGGCCAAGGTATAAATGCAATCTCTTCCTCCTCCTCCTCCTCCTCCTCCTCCTCCTGTGATTGTCCCTAAAGGTTTTTTTTTTTAACCTCCTAATAGTTTATGTTAACTAATTTTTTTATTTGCCAGGCAAAGGAGCAGCAAGCTAGCATGGAAGAGAGATTCCACAATGAGCTAAATGCCCACATCAAGTTATCTAATTTATATAAGGTATGATTTTAGTAAGACCATCAACAGTTGATCTTCTATACTTTTATTGTATTGTTCCCTCAAATATTCTAATCCGAAAAATATGCCTCTTGGTCTCTAATATTCATTAAATGAGCAGTCATACTATTCTGCCATCTGTGATGCATCATCCACTGCAGCTGTGTACATAATATGAAACAGTATATTAATAATGAATAAGCTTTACAAACCTGCAACTACATTGCACCTTGTGATAAGTCTGGTTGAGCACATCACGCTGCACAGTGTGGTTTTGTGTATATAACTGCTTCTGTTGGTTTTGGGGGGTTTTGAACAGAGTTGTTAAAAGGAACTAGCACAGGAATGTAGGTGAGGCTTCTGCTAGGTGGGTTTGTTTTTTTCTGGCACATTGAAAACCTCCTTTCAGCTCCTCATTGTACTGCATGAACTCCTGCTTGTCTCTCCACTTCCTGAGGCTTAAAAACACCCCATTTTTGATTAAGTGATACCAAGTGACTCTGCTCCCCAGTGTTTTGGGGCTTTTTGCTTTCCTTCCTTTTACTTGTAGCAAATACTTATTGTCTAACAGTTCCGTCTTAATGTACATCATTCTCATTAGCACACTTTAATCCACTTCGTTTGGTGGTTCATGGCAGATCTTCAGGGGTTTCCTGGGAACAGAGACAGTGCTTATGTGAAGCCCGGATGCTAGCATCCATCACCAATTTTTTGTTCTTCTGCAAAAGTATATGCAAGGCAAAGAGCCTCTGTCTACCTTCCCTATTCGTTCTGCAAGCTATCAGTATTCTTGCAAGTAATAACTGAAGGGTTGCAGCAGCTCCTTAAGTATATTCCAGTAGCTTTGTAAACTAATGCTAAAGTTCTGACTCTTCTTGGTTAGTTTTCTATCTTGACTTTTCGTTATAAATGTTTTAAAGCAATTGAATAAAAACATTTGGTCTGACTCTTGTTTGTTTTCTGTGCTAAACTCTGTTTTAATGTGGTGGACAGATTTTACCTGTAAAGTCCAACAGCCTATGGGCTTTTTGGACAGAGCCTGAATAAAATATCTGCTGAAGTGATGGCCTTAATTAAAATTTGTTGCCTACAGGGGGCTGCTGATGACTTGGAGACAAAAAGTAATGAACTCACTCAAGCTGTAGATGAGCTGCACAAGCTTCTGAAAGAGGCGGGTGAAGGTGAGGAACATTCTGTTTTGGAATGTAGAGCCTTCCGTGTGTCCTGATGAATCAGCAGCAAATGCAGAATCTGAGGGGTATTAAACAGCAGTTATCTCATCAGATAATGTCTATTCCACATAAAGGATTTTTTAATTAAAAAATGGCCTCATTTCAGAGGAAGCCATGAGGTCAGGTGGAGTCTGCTATTCGAGAAGTTCAAGTTCAAAGCTCTTTTGGGTTTTGTGAACTATTTTCTCGTAGGGCTGCCAAGTCCCCCCGGGGGGCAGGTAAACCCCTGCTTTGGGGGCCCTATTTCCACCGCCACAGAATCAGGCCCCGGGGGCAACCCCACCTTGGTGTGCACGTCAGCCGGAGGGGACGTGATGGCACCGGGCATGCTGGGGGTGGGGCCACAGCCATCTGAGGGGAAAACTCTGTTTTCCCGCTCAAGATGCCGTCCGGGAGCCCCCCGCCGCAGAGCAAAACGGTCTTGGGAGCCCTATTTTGTCGTCATCTTTCAGAGCTCTTTGAGTCCTTCCTGGCCCTCTGTTGGTTCAAACTGTAGATTGCTTTCATGGATACAGCAACCATTCCCTTGGTGTTCCCTGAAATGTCTGCTGTGTTGTATTGCAGAAGTTATTCATTTTTTCTGACGATGTCTTTGGGAACTTAAAAATCTTGTCAACTTCCCCCCCCCCCCTCTTCCTATGACCATTAGCAAACAAAGCGACACAGGATCGGCTGGCTGAGGTCGAACAGCTGAATGCTGCCACAGAAAAAGAGCTGAAGGAAAAGATTAACAAGTTAGAGAGAGAGCTGGACAATGCCAATGATTTGGTTTCTGCCACCAAGCGTAAAGGTCTGTACCCCCCTAGAATAGACCTTAGAGAAACGTGGGCAATTTGGTATGGATTTGGAAACCTTTGTAGTTTGATCTGGTCACTGCAGTGCTTGTCATATTTTTTTTTAAGCAGTATCATGTTAAAGATTGTGGCTTGCTCTCTGTCTCTTCTCTAGGGGCCATCCTTTCAGAGGAGGAGTTGGCAACGATGTCTCCCACTGCTGCTGCAGTAGCTAAGGTGGTAAAGCCTGGCATGAAACTGACGGAGGTAGGAATTAAACTAGCTGGTAATGTACTACTTGTTAGTTGGTGTATCTCTGTGTGTGTTTGGCTGTAGTGGAGATGTAAAATTTCTGGAAATTTTGAAGGTCAGAAAAAAACCCGTTTTTTTCCAGAAAAAACAGAAATTTTCGGAAAAATTGAAAAAAATGCTACATTAGCATTTCTTTTGTCTTTTCTAGATTGAAAGTCATTCTGTTACTTTAGGAACATAAAATATGACTATGGACATTTTTACTTGGCATGAAATTATCACAACTAGCATATTAAAAATATAGTGTATCCAAACAATTATTACAAACAGAATACCCATCCACATGCAAAAACAAAACTGAAACTTTTTTATTTTCTTCTGACAATTGCACCTCCTAAAGGAAGAAATGCATCTTGTTCTTGCATTGGAGAGTTCAGTTTGTAACCTAGGACTTGCTTGTCCTCAGTGCACAGAAATTAGATCAATCTGATACCATACATATTTTTTTTTATTTTCTTTTTTCAATTTTTCAGAAAAAAACAAAAAGGCTTCAGGGAAAAAACAGACAACCCCCCCCGAATTTTTCTGGTTTTTTTCCGGGCCTTCACATCTCTAAGTGGAACTATCTACAGATTGAATGCTCTTCACAGATCACTTTGGATTACGTTCCCATGATTTTCTCATTTCAGTTATTGCTGGGGGTGGAAAGAGAAGAACCTTTAAGTCCCATGAAAACAAAACTCTGTATATAGTGTATGGCAGCAGTATATATAGAGAGAGCACTTATATCTGAATGACCTCCCCAGATTACTCTTTTGCATCCATTCATGTGAATGAATGTAGCTTTTGACTTGGGCTTTCAGTATTCATAACCTGGGTAAAGTATATGAAGATGGTGCCATTGTAATGGTTTCTCACGGAACAAAATTCGATTAGCTATACTTTTTATGTTTTCATTTTGCATAAGCTAGTTCTTTATGGCCATAATTGAGGAACTGTTTTATGGAGAAAGGAGGATATATTCAGGCATGAAATTGCAATAACACAGCTGTTGAATTTAGATGTTTTGGATTATTGGAAAGGAATGGCAAGGATTCTTATGTAAATTGCCCTCTTGTCACAAAGGAATATTTTATTTTTGCTGGAAGTCTCCACCCTTTCATTGCTTTATTCTGCCTGGACGCTGGCCAAAGCACGTGTTTAGAACTATGAACCTCTGCACTCTTACAGGGGTGTAAGTCCAAGCAAACATGACAGGACTTCAGTTTGAGGAAATTTGTTTTAACATTACGCTGTAGCTCACCATTCAGATACAACACTTGAGTGTTGTGCTCCCATACATCTGGTGGCTGCATTTGAATGAAGCACCCTCATGGGGAAGTTAACTTGGGGGGGGGCAGTTACACAGGCCCTGTCAGTTCTCTCAGAAATGTGTAATTTAGAAGATGGTAATTATACCTGTGCTGGACACCGAAAGCTAGATGAACAGGCAGCCACAAAACGTGCTAGTAGAGAAATGGGAGCCTACAGGTTTATTTTTGCTCTCTTTTTTTGATGCAGCTTTACAATGCCTATATAGAAGCACAAGATCAGCTGCTGCTGGAGAAGTTAGAGAATAAGAGGATTAACAAGTACCTGGATGAGATAGTGCAGGAGGTAGAAGCCAAAGCACCCATTCTGAAGCGTCAGCGCGAAGAATATGAACGTTCTCAAAAAGCAGTGGCGAGTCTTGCTGCTAAACTTGAACAAGCTATGAAGGTCAGTATAAAACTTCATAAAAGTTTGGATTCAGACTAAAATAGCCATCATAAATATATATACTGTAAGCGTTCCACTGGCAGGAGGAGGTCTCCGCCTGCCCCCCATGCCACAGCTCAGGGTTAGCATTGCTGGGCAACACCTGAGGACAGGCAATGCAGGTCAGGGGCTGCCGTTTGGAGGTGGGGGTCAGGCAAGCTTGCTCCTCCTCCTCCTCTCTTTTGTCAGTGTAGTATTGATAGAGTACAGCCCAATGTGATTAAGGAGGCACAGCGGTCATGTTAGCCTATAGCTGTGTATCGTCATCTTGGAATCAAATCTGTTATCGCTTTTTCCAGTTCAAGAACTGCATGAATGTTGTTGGTTTGCAGGAAATTCAACGTTTGCAAGACGATGCTGATAAAGCAAACAAACAAGCTTCTTTGCTTGAAAGGGAGAACCAGAGGCTCGACATCCAGGTCAAAGATCTTTCACAGCAGGTTAGTTCTTAAGACAGTTTGCAGCAGAACCCAAGAGTGTCTGCTGAGGAGTAAAGACCTCTGATAGCAGTGGGAGTTAACTTTTATTTAAAGAAGAAGAAGAAGAAGAGATTGGATTTATACCCCACCCTTCACTTGGAGTCTCAGAGCGGCTTACAAACTCCTTTCCCTTCCCCTCCCCACAACAGACACCCTGTGAGGTGGGTGGGGCTGAGAGAACTCTGCCACAAACTGCTCTTTTTCAAGGACAGCTGTGCCAGAGCTTGTGACTGACCCAAGGTCACATCAGCAGGGGCAAGTGGAGGAGTGGGGAATCAAACCCGGTTCTCCCAGATTAGAGTCCGCGCACTTAACCGGACTCTCTTCCACCAAACTGGCTGCATTTAGCTTTGCAGCCTTACAGTGCAGTCCTAAATAGAGTTCTATCTTTCTGACTTTTTGTGGACTTAGAAGGGTGCAACTGTGTTTAGGATTGCACTGTTAGCCTTCTGAACCTTCGCCCCAGTTTGAGCTCTGACACTGAGTTCTGGGACTGAGAAACAGCTAATTTGTCTCTCCTTCCTGAAAATTTCAGGTGTTCCACTAAGTAGCTCAGCTGTGTAAACAGAATTGGGATGTTCCCTTCAAAAAAATGGGATGCATCAAAGATAATTTGAGCACAATTAAGCACAAGCTCTGTTTAATGTTCAAATTTCACTAAAACCTGGTGCTTTAGTGAAATTTGAACATTCTTTCTGTGATAAGAAAGAAGCTGCAGTCTCAGACTAATGAAGGGCTTGGGTTTGGTTATTTTGGGGAAAGGTCTATGGCTCAGTGGCAGAGTATCTGCTTAGCATGCACAAAGTCCTAGGTACAATTCCTGGCGTCTCCAGTCAGTCAAGTAGTAGGTGATGTGAACAACCAGGGAGGGGCTGTGGCTCAGTGTTAAGGTGTCTGCTTGGCGTGCAGTCCCAGGTTCAATTCCCAATATCTCCAGTTAGAAAGGGTCAGGTAGTAGGTGATGTGAAAAAACTATACTTAAGATCCCGGAGAGCCCCCTGCCAGTCTGAGTAGACAATACTGACGTTGATGGGCCAAGTGGTCAGATTCACTATAAGGCAGCTTCATGTCACCCCAGTTCCTGAAGTGACCGAAATAATCTGTTTAATTTTTAAAAAGATAAGAGTGCTTTTAATGGAACTTGAAGAAGCTAGAGGCAATCACGTCATCCGTGATGAAGTGAGTTCTGCCGACATCACCAGCTCTTCAGAAGTGATAACCCAACACTTGGTCTCCTATCGAAACATCGAGGAACTCCAGCAGCAGAATCAGCGACTCTTGGTAGCTCTTCGGGAGCTGGGTGAAGCTAAGGAGAAAGAGGAGCAAGAAACAACTTCATCTAAGTACGCTTCTCTTGGCAATATGTTGTTAGACTGGGGGAAATGTAAAAGTGTGCCAAAAAAATAATAATCTGAAGACCAAAGCATAATGGCTTTGTGTCCTACAGATGGTCTGCTGGTGAAAGTGGGGAAAGTGGTGATCTCATCCAATTCACCTTCTCACTGCAGCCCCCAATATGGCTTTGTGTCTGCAGTACTGTTCAGAGGTCACAGGGAGCTGCTGGGGAAGACCAAGAAGGATCTGCTTTAACCAGCAGAACATCTAGGATACAGTTCTCTGTCTTGGAGCACCCAGGCGTTTCTGTGGGTAGGAGTGCAACTGTCTCTCTTCCTCCTTCCCAAACACTTGGGTTGCAGAAGGAGAGAGGTGGCAAAAAGAATAATAATAATACTTTCAATTTATTAATCGCTTTCCCCAGTGGGCTCAAAGCGATGTACAGTTACACATTAGACAGGGGACTAACAATGTTCAAAGGGGATAGGGAGGACAACATATATTCATTTTTAATTGCACATGCTGTCACTGCACGGTGGAAACATCTTCTGGCTTGGCTCAGTCATTTTCTGAACGGCTGCTTGTCAACCAGGCTTCAGGACCCGTATGTCACATCGCCACACTGCCACCGCCTGGCCGGAGACATCCACTGCAGGGATTTTTGTAGCCGAGAAGTTCTTTCGCCTTTTTCCGACCTCAACCAGGAAGTCCCAACCGTCTAATAACACCCTCCCACAAGGGAGATTGGTGTGCCCACCCTCTCTAAGGAGTGGTTCCCATTTTATCTACTCGCCGAAGCTTTCGAATCGCTGGGTGGACGATGAGCTGGGGACAACAGGCTGGCCGCTCACACCAGCGCGGGGCTCGAACTAACACAGTTCGGATGCTAAGACAGTGGGATATACCCACTGTGCCACCGCTTTCACAAGTGGAACTCCCTTCTATCCACAGAAGTGCTCTGGTGGATCCAAACCATAAACTATGATTTTTCTCTCCTGTATACATGTCTGACTATTTTGGCACTCCACACTGAGTTTTTAAATGAATGCTATGGTTTTTGCCAAGGCAGTAAAAGTTGTTAATGAATTTTGCATTAGCATTAATTAACCTTTATTGTCTCAGTGCTGGCTCCTTGTTCCTCTTGCCATTTGCTTTACTCTTAACAGACTTTCATTCCGATTCCCTCATTGCCCCTATGTATCTAGTTTGCACCAAAATTCAGTAAATTGGAGGGAATCTGGAAAGTCCTGCTCATGGTTAATAACATGAAGGGGTTTCTCATTTATTTGCTAAAATACTCTTGGTGTTGGTAGACATTTTCCAGCAGTTCTATATCACTCCTGAAGTCCCGTTAACATTGTATGCAATAGGGGATAAAAGCATATCCTCACGCACACACCATTGCTTTCAGGCGTCATCTCCTAGTTCAGCTTATGTCCGTTTGGCCCATATAGTTTGTCAAAAACCAAGAAAAAAAAAGGGGGGGGTACTCAACCCAAAATATGGCTGTGGTATATGAGGGTCAAGCTAACAAAATAAGTTATTACAAAAATACAAATATTTATTATGGTGTACTCAGTAAAAAATAAAGTAGGTCAAAAGAAATGATCTAAATGTCAGACTCTTAAAACTTTTTACACACAGAGCTGATAGTGTTACATATACAATTGATGGGTATATCTTATGACCAGTAGACCATACACGTTTCAGCCCCTTAGGGCCTTCCTCAATGGTCCGTATTACTATTATAAAACAACACACATCCAGAAACAAATATATGAAAAAAGATTTTCTTTAGAGCCAGGTGTTGCTTTCTCATGTGATGGGCAATTGCTAAAAGTTTACACAGTAGGCCATGGGTAATTTCTCATGGTAACTGCGCATGCTCTCCAAATTGTTCTGGTAACAAATATCCAATGTGTCTGGATGTGTGCCTCTTCCATCAAAGTTGGTAATCAACTTCAGATTCTGTTTTCTGTCCGCAACAGGATTTCTGAGCTGCAAAGTCAACTTGGTGAAGCTATCAATGAGCTAGAAAAGTTGCGTGAGTCCCGGCAGCACCAGATGCAGCTTGTGGACTCGATAGTTCGCCAGCGTGACATGTATCGCATCTTGTTGGCACAGACCACTGGGGTTGCCATTCCACTGCAAGGTAGGGCCTTATATCAGTAAAATCTACTGAATTGTGTGAAAGGCTCTTGATGCACTGGTCACATGCAGTGAGAAGCAGACTGGGTAGAAGAGGCCAATTTTTCTGTAAAAGCGCTGTTTCTGTAAGCATGCCTGTTCATCCTGTGGTGTAATAGAGAACAGTCGAGAGCTGGAGGGAAGGGGGGAGGAACTCCCCAACTCTTGCTATTAGCATTTTAAAGGGGGGGGGGATATGACCTTTAAAGAACACATTTTCTTCTTTAAAATGCTAATAACAAAGCCCAGTTTCAGGCAGCAAAATGAAATGGAGGTTGTAGGGTTCACCCTGCCCCCTTTTCTGCATGGCCTAGAGGCAAATTGTTTTTGTAGAAGCCTGTCTGTGTTGGCCACATGTAGGGGGAAAGAATAGCTTAGTTTAGGTAGCAAGCTCATTTTGAGCCCTCATACAAAACACATTTTTAGAGGAGAAATACAGCTGGAGATTGATAATTGGGAGTTGATCAGCAATTTGATATTGTTCATTTTTGCCTTATCGTTCTCTGGTCAAGATTTAGAGTAGGAACGCTTCAGTTGTAATGTCAGACTGACAGTACGTTACTGGTAGCAGGTTCTACAATTCTAAATAACTGTCACTGTGCACATGAGTGAACCAGAAAAGACATGCATTTATGAAAATGTGTCCAGTTTTTATGATGTACTTAATTGCTGGGTATGTGCTTTGGTCATAGAATTTGGGGCTACTTGGGCAGCCCCTGAAAATGTCACTGCAAGAAGTTCTTTGTTACTGAGATGAGACATTTGATTTCTTCTCCATTGGTTGAAAAATGTTGCTTTTTAAAATGTTTAGCACCAGGCTTCTTGCCAGAAGAAGCATCTTTGACCTCGACTCCCAGGCGCCTGTCAGGTGCACCTCAGGCCATGTCAACTCCAGCTGTTGTACCGGTGACAGAATCAACTGAAGCAGTGGAGGCAAAGGCAGCCCTTAAACAGGTACCTAATGGTCTTTTTCCGGGGGCCTCTGTACAGGAATGCTTTCTGCTTAGGGCTTTATTGACCGTAATTCATGCTCATGTACATTTGACACACTCTCCAGTTGCAGGAAATTTTTGAGACCTACAAGAAAGAGAAGGCCGAGAATGACAAACTACTGAATGAGCAAAACGAGAAGCTCCAAGAACAGGTTACGGACTTGAGGTCACAGAATACAAAGATCTCTACGCAACTTGAGTTTGCTTCGAAGCGGTATGGCAATATTTATGAGCACTACTAAAATGCTTCTATGCAATTAATCTGGTCTGTTTTTCTGGTGTTGATGGAACTGTGAGACCCACATAGGGATGAGCATGAACAGATAAATGAACTGCGGCTCATGCATGAACCACACTGGTTCGTGGTTTGCATACCAGGAGTTCGGGAGAACGTGTCTCCCATGATCCGCCACACGAACCTCCTTTTTTTTACTGGAGGTTCGTGGTTCCTGCAGGCTTCGAAGGCATTTAAATTCCTTCAGGGCTCATTTCCGGGTGGGGCCGTGGCTCAAGTGACACCCCCAACCAGAAGTCAGTTTCAAAGGCATTGCAGAGCTCACTTCTGGGTGGGGATGCAACCCCATGAACTTCCCACAGCACGAACCGGTTCATGCAGTGGAGAAGTTCGTGGAAGTTCATGGTTCATGAAAACCACAAACCTCCATTTTTCCCCCGGCTCATGCCCAGCCCATGACCCACAGTTTGTGATACAGACCTCTTGTAACATTCTGGCAAAGACAATATGCATGACCAGTGCAGATAGAAGACTGCCTGGCCTCTCCTATCTGTGTGTGGAAATGGGAGTGCCTCATAGGCATTTATTAGTGCTGCTCCTCCTCCTCCCATTGTGTGCCATGTGGTTAGGTGTTGTAGTAAAATGGTGGGTTTATATTCATATATTGATTATGGGGAGGGGTTGTGGCTCAGTGGTAGAGCATCTGCTTGGCATGCAGAAGGTCCCAGATTCAGTCCTTGGCATCTCCAGTTGAAGGGAATCAGGAGGAGGAGGAGGAGATTGGATTTATACCCCGCCCTTCACTTGGAGTCTCAGAGTGGCTTACAAACTCCTTTCCCTTCCCCTCCCCACAACAGACACCCTGTGAGGTGGGTAGGGCTGAAAGAACTCTGACACAAACTGCTCTTTTTCAAGGACAGCTGTGCCAGAGCTTGTGACTGACCCAAGGTCACATCAGTAGGTGCAAGTGGAGGAGTGGGGAATCAAACCCAGTTCTCCCAGATTAGAGTCCGCGCACTTAACCACTACACCAAACTGGCTCTCAAGGTGAGACTCTGGAGAGCAGCTGTCAGTCTGAGTAGACAGTTGACCTTGATGGACCATTGGTCTGATTCAGTATAAGGCAGCCTCATGTGTGAGTATAATTTGCTAGCTTCCACTGTCTTATTGGTTTCTATTTGAAATAAACTGTAGTAAGTTGCATTGTGAACTTGAAGCTGAGAAATATCTTTAAACGCTTTTTAAATTTCTAAATTGTGTCAATGTTTGAAATGTGTTTATATTCGCTGTCTTGGGGCCCTTGAACTGCATGGAGAGGATGCCTATCTATTGGATCCCCCTTGTCCATATGTTTGTTCACCCCCTCAAAGAACACTAACAGAGTAACAACTTACTCTCCGGTTTAAAGTATCACTAAAACGATATTCAGAATAAATAATGTTAGAATTGTTCTCTTTAATTTTTTTTCAATTTTATCTGTAAAGTTATGAGATGCTGCAGGATAATGTTGAGGGATATCGTCGAGAGATAACATCACTGCATGAGAGGATCCAGAAGCTTACAGCAACAACTCAGAAACAGGAACAGATAATCAATACCATGACTCAAGACCTGAGAGGAGCCAATGAAAAGTTAGCTATGGCTGAGGTAATTAGTACAGTGTTCTATGCTTTTTCTTACTACAAGTTATTTTATAACATTTCAGTGTTCATCATCATGGCCCCTGTGCAGTCCCACATTGGGGATTGTGTATGCGCAGGCCATCTGCAGAAACGGTTACCAAAGCTTTCTAGTAGACTAGGAGCTCCCCTCCTCCCTCTGGTGCTTTCCTGCCAAAATGTTCACATGATCAGGAAGAGGGACGCTACTCCCTCAGTTCTCTTTTTGTCGCCACAGAGAGAGGATCTCCACTGCTGTTCTTTTTTCCCTTTCACCTCATTCTTGAGGCTGAGGGGACTTCTTTCTCTCAAAAGTTTTCCTTTTGTCATCAATACTCATTCTATTGAAGAATAAACTTCATTCAAAGAAGAAATGTTTCTGGATTTCCACTGTGTCACTGTGGCTCAAAAAGGTTCTCCTCCGGATTGGGCCAACTGTTGCTTTAGAATGGTGCTGTTAAACAGCCATTCTCTGTGCCTTAACTGCCTAGGGGTGGGGTGTCAACCCTGTGGCCCGTGGGCTGGAACCAGCCCACCCAGGCCTTTAATTCAGCCTGGGAGTGGGAGGCTCTTCTCTGTGTCCTCCCCTGCCCATCCTCGCTATTCTCAGCTTGAGTTGTGTGGGAGTATGAAGAGCCAAGGGCGGGGCTACCTCTGAGAGCAGGAAGTAGAGGGTGGGGCTGCCACTGAGCAGAGAGCTCGGGGCAGGGCCGCCTGAGAGCAGGAAGCAGAGGGCAGGGCTGCCACTGAGCAGAGAGCTCGAGGCAGGGCCGCCTGAGAGCAGGAAGCAGAGGGCAGGGCTGCCAAATTCCCAGCCACTGCTCCAAGCCTCCGTAGTCCTCGTCACAGGTAGGATTTGGGGGGCGGGGTACTTCTACTGTGATCCTTGTGTTGCTTTTTTATTTTAAAACTGGCTGCAAAATCTCATAATCCCCCCCCCCCACCACCTTTCCATTTTAGGCAGGCACGTTTTCAGGATGTGGAGGGGGAAGGTTTGTGACCAGCCAGGGTTAAAATGTAGAGTTCTGCAAACTCAAGGGACTCCAGTTTTGCAGAGAAATATCAGTTTTAACACACACCCTCCCTCCTAATGTGGAACTCCAGTGGAATAATAGCAGAACAAGTGCTGAAGGGGACACCCAAAATTATTATCTCAAACCACCCTGTAAAAAAAACCCTGAGACCCTGGAGAGCCACTGCCACTCTGAGTAGACATTGGGGGGGGGGAGAGAGGCTTGTAAGGCTCTGCTGTTTCATGTTCTCCCCCTGGGTCTTAGGCTCAGACCATTTATATTTCTTGGGGGGGGGGAGGTTTGGGACTAACCACAGTTAAAATAGAATTCAACAAACTCAAGGAACTTCAGTTTTGCAGAGAAATATTAGCCCCTAAAGTGGGGCTGCAGTGGAATAGCTGCTATAATATCTTTAACTGTGTTTTTCTGTGTCCTTTATAAAGTTTACATCTCTGCTACCTGGCATTACATTTTATGATACACATGGCCCGGCCCAACAGAGTCCAATTTATGTCAGATCCAGCCCTCATAAGAAATGAGTTTGACACCCCGGGCCTAGGGGTTCACACAACAGAGCTGCCTGCTCTTTCCGTCACCATATCCCCTGAAAGCATGATTTGATAGAGCTGAAGGACTCAGAAGAACTTTGGCTGCACACCAGCCTGAATAGAGACACCTTCCCCCTCCCTGGCAAGGTGTGGTGTGAGACAGCCTCAGATTTGCTGGCTCTTCTCAAAGGCTTTGGCTGTGACCCAGCCTGAATGAAGGCACATTCCCCCTCCTTGGCTTTGTCTGCACTGACGGGAGAAATCTGGAGGTGTTGCCTGATAGAGCCTCTATACTGAGAGAACTGAGGGATTAGAGCCTCTCCACCTAGCAGGAAAGTGCGAGAGGGAGGAGGGATGCTCCTAGTCTACTGAGGCGGCATGACCCTGAAATTTGCATTTTATGAACTGCAGCCATGATCTTCATCTCATCTGTTTGAGTCCTAAGATTGGGAGGAGTGTTAGGGCACCCTGAGCTTCATGGAGTAGAGTAAAATTGTAAGGAAGTAAAAGGTAACATGAAATTATTGAGAGGAGAATCAGTCTTTTTTCCCTTCAAAAATTTGGACAATGATGCATTTTTGTTTGTAGGAAAATGTGAGCACAGCGAAGCCCAAACAATCTAATCTGTCATTTCTGTCTATCAGTTCAGTTGACCGAAAATGAGTGTGACTTGAGACCTGGTTCACACTTGCCGGGGAATTAGGTGGTAGAATGGGCTGACACTTCAGACTGCAAGTGGAGGATCATCCTCTGTGTTAACAGCTCCCCATAAATAATAGATCCGCACACTGAACAAAGGATAGGACTGATCTCCCCCTGACAGGTTTTTATTTGTGTGGAAGTTTTATAAGAAGGAATGTTCAAAGCTGGAATCCACCACCTGCAGTGGCTCAGACGAGTGCTTCCATCCATTCTACCATGTCATGTCAGGGCTTTGTTACCTCATTCTTCCAGCATTTGTGATCTGGGCCTTAAATTTCAGACTGAATTTACTTAGATGTCAATACTGAATTTTCTCCATATTGAGCTAGTGAAAAATCAAATGTAATCTTCCCAAGGTGAGAGCAGAAAATTTGAAAAAAGAAAAAGACATCTTGAAAATGGCTGAGGTTCGTCTGACTCAGCAAAAGGAAACTTTGGCAGCAGAGAAGAGAGGACAAAATCTGCTGCTCACTAACCTGCAGTCTATTCAGGTGTGTTCAGTTAACTCTTCCCCTTTCCCCAGGGTCTTTTTTCCTTCTTGGTATCAGTAATTAAGTAATCAGTAATTGTTCTGCAACCAGTTCATTTCCCCTGTATCCGTAATACTTGTGTTTACTATAAGATTTGGCCGCAATATGTGGGAGCTCAATGACTTTGAGCATATCTTGTGCCAGGAATGTGCCATATAAAAATGTCTTTTTCTTTAGGTGATCTTGGAAAGGTCTGACACAGAAATGAAACAAAGGTTCAATAACCAACTAGAGAAAGCAGAGCGTGAAATTGCCCAGCTGAAGAAAAAACTGGAGAACGAGATGGAGCAAAGGCATGCGCTGTCTAAAAATCAAGATGTGAGTAGTAGGCATAAAAAAGGAACATGCCAGTCTATGGGATTAATTACCTTGGAGCAGAGGCTTTGGATTTTGGTTTTTTAAATTTGCACTTTCTGGGGTTGGATTCATTTTTGGTTGGGTTAGTGAAATCTTAACATGCTCCCACCACTCGGTTGGATAAGAGGAAGGAAAGGGGAATCCATTCTAGTGTGGGCCAGGATGTGGAAGCTGATGGCAAGCAGTTACTTCGTCGAAGCATGGGGGCAGCTTTGATGCAGAAAGGAGCGGCTCCCAATGGGGTGGGGAGACAGAAAAGACATTCACTTGGGGTTGAAGAAACCAGGAACAGCTCCATCATTGTTGCGAGAATAGTGGCAAGTAGAGGAATCTCGAGTATGCAAGATTAGAATAGCCGGGAGAAGGATTTGGCATTCCGAAACAGAAGCAGGAGGGCTTGTAGGCATTCTTACTGTATGAAGTTCAACTTTCCTGTCTGGTTCGGTGGAATAAAAGCAGACCCACACCTTTTTATTTATTTATTTATTACATTTTTACCCCACCCTCCCCAAAGGCTCAGGGCGGCTAACAAGATGGCAAGAATGCCAACCTTTAAACAGATAAAAACAGGATAAAACAATATCCTTGGCACATGGGGCTCCATATCAGCTGAACTGCAGGCTAGACTGGCTTTCTTTTATATCTTTTGCACCAGTATTGAGCCTTCCGAACGGTGCTTGTTATCAGCACGGTGCTCCTAAGGTTGGGGCTGTGTCTTATAATTCCAAAGACAGGGAGTGGTTGGGTTTCAGCCACTGACGGGCAGCGAGATATGTCAGTCCTTTTTATTTGGTGTCCTTGGGTTGCATGTGAGTTGGTAGTCAAAACGGGCAGATTTTGGAAGTGCTCTTGTGTGGCTCAGGTGAGTTATTGAGAGAGGCGGCCAATATGACTTTATTGAGAGAGGTGGCTTAAGGTTTCAAGTGAGAGTCCTACTCCAAAGCCGCCCACGTGGTTCTGGTGTGCTCTGCTTTGAGGCTCTCTGGCTTGTGAAGTAAGGCATGCATGATTCACTTTCAGATCCATTTGTTGGATGGCAAAAGACAGCTTGAGACAGAAACGAATCTTCATGTTAACACAAAAGAACTGCTGAAGAATGCCCAAAAAGAGATTGCGACCTTGAAACAGCAGCTTCACAATACAGAGGCTCAGCTAGCTTCCCAGTCATCACAGCGAGCTCCTGGGCAAGGTAAGAGGGCATAAATTAACACCTGCGAATTTGAGCCTGGCACTCCTCATCAGCTTGGACTCAGGATAGGCAAATGCAGGATGGCAACCGAAGTAGTGGTGTTTCCTAAAATATAACCTTTATTCTCTAGAAGGAGATACACAGAATATCAAATAGTACAAAAGTCATTAAATTTTACTGTATTGAAATGTACTTTAGGGGATCATAGGGTATACTGAATTTGAAGAAGTCAGCTTTGAAGGAGCGTGAAGGTAGAACTAAAATTAAGGACTGGATCCTATGGTCTGTTTCTGCATGTACAAGGACACTGCTGGAGGGAGTCACCAAATCCGCCCTCCCATGGCAAATCCCAGCATTATGTCCCTTGGGAGGTGTCCCTTGAATCTTAGGGGTGCAAGGGGGGGCTACAGTGGAAGGGGAAGAAAGTTCTGTTCCGGGAGTGAACTGTAGGATCCAGCCTTAAATAAAATTAATCAGTTTTATTACATAAATGGCAGCATTCAAGTCCTGTGTTCAGAACTGGCTTCTTCAAATTCAGTATGCCTGATGATATCTTAAATGCATTTCAATGCAGTAAGTTTTAATGAATTTTGTGTTACTTTCCTCCAGCATACGTCCATCTGTTGGGTGTCCTTTGATAAGCTTAGCTAAAAGAATTGAACATCATGTACAGTCCTTTCTTGGGTTTAATATTAATCAGGCAGAAAACACTAGGAGTTCCTAGGAGCCAGGAAAAACCATAACACCTTTTTTGTAACAGACGACAGGACAACTGTTGCATTCAGAGCCACGTTGCCATAGCATTCTTGAGCTCCTCTGGAGGCACTGCCATTTCTTTTCCTTTGAAAGTTATTAATACGTGGATTGTTTTATTTGAGGCAAGGAATCACAAAACTGCTTATGGGTGCATGGAATCAGAAGAAGCAACAGTAGCATCATATTCTGTGAAGGCTTCTGGTTTTGATGGTTTTTAACTCTCTTAGGCCAGCCTAGTACAAGTGAGGTCGTGGATGATCTTACAAGTCGATTGAGACAGTCGGAGGAGCAGGTTAATGATCTGAGAGAGAGGCTGAAGACAGCCACAAATAACGTGGAGCAGTACCGAGCAATGGTGGTGAGCCTCGAGGAATCACTTAACAAAGAAAAGGAGGTAATATGCTGTCTAAGTATAACTTTGATTTTTACTGTATCTGCAGCCCTGCATTGTGCCAGGGGCGCTTTCCAGTTGAGACCTGCAGCATAGTTGAATTGTTAGATTCGAGTGGCATTAAGTAATTAGCTCTGTACATAAAGTCAGTGGTACTCAACTGCATTATGGTTGGGATGCAGTAATTTGTCTGCGGAAGGGAGTGTTGGTTGTGGCTTTTTTCATGTTCCCCTCTCCCCAAAGCTGTTTTTGATGCCAGAAAAGTCTATTCTTGGGGGCCATAGGACCTGTGTGAATTAATAGCCTTTTGGGCTGTGGGGAGGGAGTGAAATTCTCCTCTTCAGCCTCTTTCATCAGTTGAAGAAACAAAGCATGGCTGTTAATCTACAAACAGGTCCCACAATCACAGGAATAAACTTTTCTGGGGTTGGAAATGGCTGCTGAGCAGAAGAGAATGTGGGGAAAAATCTGTGATCCTTGTGTTTGCAGATCATGGGATCCCTGGCTTCCAAAGTAAGTTAAGACTGAGCTTGTTGATTCAGCAATAACCCATGGACTTGTAATCATTACAATACAAGCAACTGTGCAAGCTGCCGGTTTCCCCAACCGAGGACCAGTGGGTGAACTGCCAGGCACGCTGTTGGCCCCAAACTGTCCCAAAGACTGGTTTTATTCTTTTGACTAAGCAAAGTTCACAAGCTACCAATTTGTCCTCCTCTCATTTACATCCAAGGGAGCCCAAACAGTACTTTAGTTTTATTTGTCTACATTTAGGGGGGTCGAGTATGACAAAGGTTGAACCGTTCGGCCTAACTTTCAGAATTCAGTCCCCCTTTCTACAATGAACAAAACCAGGAAACATGTCTCTTGTGAATACTCTGTTACCTACATTTAAAACTGAGTTTTGTTTTGTAGGTGACGGAGGAAGTTCGTGCAACTGTTGAAGCCCGCCTGAAGGACTCTTCAGAGTATCAGTCCCAGCTAGAAAAGAAGTTAATGGAGGCAGAAAAGGAAAAACAAGAGCTTCAGGATGAGAAGCGGAAAGCTGTCGAGAGCCTGGAGCTACAGGTATAACGGCATCATCTTTATCTGTTCATTTTTGGCATTCTGTAGCTAGGAAAATTACATGTCCAGGATTGAAAAGTTTGCTCCAACTGTATTCAGGGACTTTGCCTAATACATCCCTGTGCAGTCTTGTAGCTTTAGTTTGCTTGTCGCTTAGTTTCAAAAACTTGTGTGGCATGAAGGGGAGCTGCATATTTGAAAAACACCTGCCCAGAGCCCCTTTGTGCATGCACACAACTGGAGTTTCATGGCTCCTTGGTTCCTGACCTCTAGAATTTTATGCTTGCCATTCAGCGTCTAGTAGTCCAGTACCTACAATGCACAAAATAATTATTTTGCAGAACTTGAATCATGAACCACTTGAAATTAAGAAGGTATTCGATGCATTTCGTGATTTGTGTTAATAGGACAGAGAAAATGCAGGAGATCATAAGGCTAGTTTTTGCTCAAATATGTCAGGTTATTTTCTTTATCCACATTTATAAGCAGTGTCTGTGAAACTTGTGTTTATTAATCCAAATAATAAAGGCTGTAAAGGCAGGATTCACACAAAAATGTTACGTTGCAGTAGCACTGGTGATTTTGCTTATCACTTGCAACCTCACCTCTTCCAGTTTGCACATGGCAAAGCAGTCCAATCATTAGCATCATAAAAGTTTATGGAATTTTCGGAAGTCTCTTGTCAGTGTCTGGCAGCTGCAGTTTCAGTGAAATGAAAAACATAACTTGTGCTATAAAACTGCATATTTTAAGACTGTTGGTGGACTGAAAGAACTGAAATGCAGCAAGCCAGGGCTTTGCGCCAAGTCTAATCTAAGATGCATTTTCTCCTAAATTAAAAGTTGCGTGCCTTCCAACTCTTAATTTTGAAACCTGATGGTCTAAAAAACAAAGCAAAAAAACACCCGTGTACCCACAAACTCTCAATGTGTGATGTTTCTGATGCAGCTTTCTGAGCTGAAGAAAACCCTCTCCAGTCTGAAAACAGAAGTTCAAGAATCGATTCAGAGAGCAAACACAGCTCTTGCTAATGAGCAGCAAGCCAAACGAGACTGTCAAGAACAAGTAAGTTTGGGTATCTAATCGTGAACAAACTGATCTTTTAAAAAAAAACACAGCTAGATAAATATGTTATTGTCTCTGCACTTTGCTAGAGAATTTAAATTTAGATTTTTATGGTGGGGGGTTAGTTTCAAAAAAACTATGCATCAATTTATCACGTATCTGGGGATCAAAATGAGAGGTTTAACATATGTACATTTATCAGAAATCTTGTTAGGAAGGTACTTTGTGGCAGCTCTTTTAATATATTCTTTGACTACTTTGTCACTGATACCCATGAGAGATCCATGTGTGCTGTGGATGCTGGGTATTGGATTAGACGGGGTCTCTGTGCAGTTTACTTAGGAAACTTTTGCATGTATTTTTTCCTTTGTATTCTCTTGCAAAAAAAAAATGACAATCACATAACTTTCTTCTGTCTAAAAAACCAAACAAACTTAGATTTTAGCGGAATTGCCAAGATGCTGTTATGGAAAAGGTTCCCCCCTCCCCCATGCTTTGACACTGTACTCGTCAAAGAGGTGAAGTCTATAACTGTAGAGACAGCACTAGGAAGAAATGAAGCTACTATTTGGACTCAGGCTACTCCTTTCAGTATTGCCCAGTTTACCCTCCTTACTGCAGTCTCCCAACTACAGTCTTTTTGCCCTGATCCCCAGTGTCACCTGTCTGGGGGTTCAAGGGGACCCTTCCTTCCTTTCCCGCCAGCAGAAAATGGTTGGATACAACCCATGGAGTCTCTTAACAGTTAAGAGATGATTACTGATGGTTTCTTACAGGCCAAGATAGCTGCAGAAGCTCAAAACAAGTATGAGCGGGAGCTGATGCTTCATGCTTCTGATGTTGAAGCCCTACAGGCCGCCAAAGATCATGTGGCTAAGAATTCTGCCGTAAAGCAACAACTGGAGGAAGCAGCCCAAAAAGCAGAATCTGCATTGCGAGAGAACAAAGCCTCATGGGAGGAGCGAGAGAGGATGTTAAAGGTACATCTTTTGGCCAGATCCCAGTGGACCCCTTTGAAGCTTTAATAGAGGTCTGGAACCTTTCTTCAGGGTCAAGTTCTAGGGGTGACCCTGTTCCTTTTCTATACAGGATGAAACCTCCAAGCTTGCATCTCGCTGTGAAGACTTAGAGAAACAAAACCGACTGCTGCATGAGCAGCTAGAAAGCCTGAGTGGCAAGATGATGGCGTTAGTGAAGGAAGGGGCACCGAGCGCATTAAACGTCTCTTTCAGCGAAGAAGGCAAATCACAGGAACAAATCGTGGAGATTCTTAGGTGAGAGCTGTGCCAAGTCACACCTGACGGGAACTGATCTGGATCAGTATTTATTTATACATACATACATACCTTGGATTTATGACTCGCCCAGTCCCTGAATACATAGGGCTCTGAGCGATTTACATCAATAGAAGAATACATAAATACATCATAATTACTAGTTAAAATATAATATTACAGACTTAAAATTAATCCGCAGATGAGGTTAATAATTAACCTTTAACCTGACTGTGTTGCTGCCTTGCAAGCGGGGGGGGGGGGGGAAAGGGGGAAAGGGGG